TGCTCTACAGACACCGTTCTTTGCATGACGGGAACTTAGCACTGGTGATACTGTGCTTCTTGGGTTGCTGTTTTATTGGCAGTGCTACTGTTGCTGTCGATGACGAGGTAACATGTAAACCGTACTTTATGCTTTCGACTCTTTCAGCAAACTTTAGACGAGCGCAGCAAAGGAGTCTTAAAGACATCCAGAAGTTCGTCTAGCTCTGGTTTGGCTTGCTTCAGACCAGCGGCACTATACATCTAGGAAAAAGGAATCTCATCTTGATGGGGAATTTTACTAACCAATTGGCAAGTGCATAAGCTTAACGAAATTCAGCTGGTCTGATAATGGTAAGTTGCTGTTGGGCACACATATGTACTCTTGTGTTGTGATTACATGTGCATGTAGGCTACATGCACAGTACCGAACATGCTCATGAAATTTGTCCATTCGTCCTGCACAAGACTAGATATCAATCCCGGCATGAAGACGTTAGTAAAAAAACGACCACTTCATTGATTGTCTTCGTCCGGTTATCATGTACGGAACTTACTCTGTGTCTGCGATGAAGACTTTACTTTGGAAATACACACTATTAAAGGTAAATGTATAACGTGCTTGCTGGTGCTTCATGTTTGCATGGGGTGTCTTTAATTGGTGCGTTGTCATTTTTGTATGTTTTTACCGGTGCTTGGAGTAAAGAGCCCTACCCAGTAAAATCCAAGCAAGTCACAGCAAGATTCTGTCACGCAGGTCATCTATCCGGTGCGAATTATGTGTAAACGATTTTGTGACAACTGACAAACCCCAGTTCAATAGGATAGACATGACTTAAATGACTTAAATGATGCACAGGCTTAAGATGAACTAATATCGAAATAAACATTGTAAAGCCCTCAGCTGATATAGATACATGCGGGAACAACATCAACCTCATTTCATTAGTGCCAACAGCAACATGGACAAGAGGGTTCTACTAGAGAGTCAAATAGGCAGGCAACACATGTTGAATTCTCTTTGGTCTTGACCACTAACAAGCCTCTTCCAACTGGTGTTTATGAAGAAACACGTTAGCCTATTTTGCCATCAGTCTGTTAAGAGTGTTTGCGTATGTCGGGAAATCGTGCCAGCGCAGGAGGTGCGAACAGTCAAAGAAAAATGCTGGTCAGACAGTGAGAAAGCGTAGGACTTAACACTTAGCACACCTACTTACAAGATATGGCTAGCATACTGTTTCTGCAGGTTGCCTTAAAGGATGGGACGGCGACTGTTGTCCATGGCAGTGACAGATGTTTTGCAATCACAACTGGGACTCCAGCGTCAAGATAGCAGACTTTGGCACAGAGTACCTTTAGGACTTCGAACGGCAAGGGCTCGAAGTGTTCCAGGAGGGCTTCCCTGGCATTGGGCATGGACGGACAGGAACCTCTTCTGGCAACTGAAATCGAGCCCTGCCTGGTGTCTAGCTTCGCCACATTCACCAGCATGATCTGCTTCAGGCTGGGATTGTCTGAAAACTCCTGGAAGCATACCTTACATCCCCAAGCCGCACCAAGCAACTTCGATGACTCTCACGGCTGCATGTGCCAGGTCGCTCTCTGCAGGAGCTGCAAGCGCTCGTAGTGAAGATCTGTGACTTCACGGCGTGAGAGTGGCTTCCCAGTCGTGTCGTCTATCTCGAAATTCTCGTAGTATCTTGCAGCAACGTGTTCCTTCTGATATGAAACTTGACTGATTGACCAGGCTCCGCCCGCCTGAGAATTCCAAGCAGCTGATTAACCAGACGAGCTTGTGGCAGCTGCGCCACTTTGGATCCTCTGCAACGCACCTGCAAGGTACCAACGACATTCACCACCAACATGCTTATTTTGTATCGAAGCAAGGGTCGGGTATTGCAAACACTCGCCGGCAATGCTCGGTAATGATGCAGACATTGGAAACATCGTTAACCAAGACAGCTGCCATCCGTTGTTTCTCTCCGCGCTCATTTGTTGAAATGCTTGTTGCTGCGCGTGCAAGCTCGCAACATGGCCGACACACTGCAGTCTCACACGTCCTCCACTAGCTACTGATCCCGTCTCAGCGTCACACAACGACGTGCTTGTCCACCAACAGTGGTCGGAAGAAGCGCCGCGTAGGCAGCTGATCCAGCAAATCGATCATCAGCTCGATGCAGCCTGGGTGCCGAAGGTAAGGAGGCAGCATGCCACGTCCAGTCTACGAGCACGCGAATGTAACGCAGTCAGCTGCAGTCAAGAGACGCTCTAGGTAGGAAAGCTCCTGAAGAAAATAGTCCAAGTTCAGATGCGGATGCACTTCAAAGCTCGCTGCCACACCAGGAACGTGTTTTTCAGAAATCACCGCTGGTTGTGAGAGAGCCGCAATGAGAGACAGCACGCAAAAGCAATCTAGAATCCATTCTAGAATCCGGTGTTCATTTGGACATCGCAAATTGAAACCTTTTCAACTGCGGCAGAAAGTTCACGGCAATATACAAGTGGTTGCATCTTCCGCTCTGGTACTGTGCTTGGCAGCCATCTCGTGCATGAAAGGCACGGAGTGACGTCACATGCGACCCTGCTTCGACCCAGCATGCTGGGACCCTTAAGCCCGGAGCCCTTGAGGATCCCTCAGAGAACCAGCAGGCAGGGACCTTCAATAAATCGATTCTAAGCCAAGTATGAGACCCTGAACCCTAAACCCCAAATGGCCCCTCAATCCTAAACCCTGTCGAATGACCCAGCACATCATCAGCGGGCGGAACCCAAGCAAACGACGATGTTTGTGCCTGCGCGGTCCTCTACTCCCAAGTCAGTAAGCTCTCCAAACTTCTCCAGCGAAGCCAAGAACTCATCGAGCAGTTCGGACATGAAATTCCGCTCGTGCTTGGCCTGCGGCCTCAACATCAGTTCGGGAGCTCAGCCTGTGCGTGTCCGCGGCTTGACTTGTCTTGGGTGCCCCGCGTCTTGGGATCAGCCTGCACTGGGTCGTGCAGGCACAGTCTCGCATAAGTAAAGCTAATCGATGCTAATTATGCTAATTTCCGTCGTCGCAGATGCTCAAACGTGCAGTCAGAGTCCACTGCAGTCAGGCGGCATACTTCTTCTGAACTTTCTTCCAAAATGCGGGCAACTTCTTGTTCAAAGACAACAGCTTCCTTGGCAATCGGAAATATCAAGGAATACCACGGTAATTATGTAATGTAACTTTCAGCACCTGCTAGAGCTATCGAAAGATCCATTGCAGTCCAGTGTCTCGCGGTGGAGGTCGTTCAAATGAAACCAAGACTGCAAGCCTGTGAGCCTGGTGCCATCACAGCTGTAGATGTCAGCAATCCTACAGCCTCAGTCATCTCAGCCCGGCTGCCTTAAGCAGCACTCGCGCACGAAGTCTTGCTCCAAGCTTTGGAAGCAGTTGATGAGGAACTGAAGGACGTGAGACCTGGCTGCCCAAACCCTGAACAAATCAAGCTAACTCTTTAAGATATCAAGGCATATGGGCGATTGCAAACGGCCAGGCTCCTGGCTTTTCCCGAAGTGTCAACCGCCCAGACTTCCACAGCTCCAGCATACTCTCAAAGTAGCCCGAAAACCTGAGGCGCAGCCGTCGTAGCCCCAAAGGGCAGGATGGGGTCATTCAGCAAAGTTGCTTCTCTTTGCGGGCAGCCACAGAATCCCATGCAGAAACACTTCCATCTCGCACCTTCTCGTGGGGCAACCAACGCACATCAAGCACTCAAAGCCCGGTCACAGCCCGTGTGCAGGTCCGCCTTCTCGTTGATGAGGAGCGCGATGGTTATCAAGTGCGCAAGACTTGCCTTTTCTGTTTCAAATCCTGGCCAGAGCTTCCGCTCCAAGAAAGAGTTGAACTCCAGGGTAGTCACCTGTGGTTGCAGTCAAGTGTTTCGTAGGTGTAACATGGACCAAACTGAAAAGTTTGTGAACATTGCAGGCATTCCAAGCTGAAAATGCGGCCTGCTTAGAATCAAAACCGCTTTCTTTGAGCTTGGCATAGATCTCCTCAACCACCTGGTCGAAACACAGTCAAAACTCAGAGCTCAGCCCCAGCGCCACGCTCAGCCGCTGGCGGGCTCAGACGCACCTGTCAGCTTCTCCTGTCAGCACTTCTGTAAGACTTGACACTACCAGGCTGGGGAGACAAATAGGGGAGCTGGAGCAAACTCAAGTCACCAGAATCCAAGGAGACTCCAGAAACTGCACAGAGAGCCAATGCACTGCTCTGTCCTGCAGCACTGCCGACCCGAAACCTAGAGACCAACCCCGCAAGCCCGGCCTCGGAGGCAACGGAAGCGTTGATTGCGTCGATCATCGTTTGTCTCTAAATTAGACACGTATGCGATGTGGTTTTGCTTTAGCCTTGCCTGGGGCCTAGGCCTAGGGGCCTTTTTGTTCCTATACGCGCAGTTTCAAGCTGTCTGCTCTGTGTACGCGCGCCGGTCTGGTGGAAGGATCCAGCTATCCTATGCAAGGAGTTAAACTGTTTGTTTGCAAGGCCACACCATGGTCTCCTGGCCTTGCGCCGAACAGCTCAGCTTGACGTGGGGAAAGAAATTGAAGCGTCACACATGCGCAAACGAGCAATATTGCATCAGTGATGTATACAGTCCCGTCTTCTCTTCGCTGATTCCCAAGATTTTCTTCGCAGCTCGGCCCTGCCACTCTCAGCTGCTCAGAAATATGCTGGATGGAATATGCTCTCCTGGCGAGTCCAAGTTGCGGCTCGTTCCGAGACGATTCGAAAAGCTCGGCGCGGCACTCTGAACCTTAATCCTTGCCCTCCTGGTACCTGGGGCCACAGGCGAGGCCAGCATGGCCAGCAGGAGCAGGCCACAAATGGAACATTGTAAGACACGCAAATCATGGAATCAAGGAGTTGCGAACAAGTTTCTTGGCCATCAAGGCGGCTCGTCGTCGTCGACTTTCCTGCCACGGAGCGGAGAACAGGCAGCCTTTTGCTAAAAATGACCGGGGCAACCTCTAAACGCTTCGCGACCGTCTCATCATCATCATCGTCCTGCGCACTATACTCATGATGGAACAAAGGTACCACAAGCAAGGAATGCCCGAATGTCCAAGACACCATGCCCATAAGCTGCGCACTTGTTGCAAGACTCGTCTCTTCTTCTTTGCTTCACTGTCAACCTCAACTGAATGGGTGCGAACGTCGTGACATGTCGGTGAACTGAAGCTGTGCTTTTCGCAACCCGGCCCTTCGTTGCTTAACACGTGCCAGAAGGGCTCCTTCTGTTGCACCTCGAGGTCTGCCGAGCTGGGCAATGTTCTCATATCGCACTTTTCTATGCATCTGCTGCCGGCATGTGCAACATGCAGCACCTGTTTCTGCTTGCGTCGCTGGAGCCTTGCGTGATGCAGGCACTTTTGCCAAGCTAAGCTTCACTGTGCTTAGCCCAACCTCGTCCTTCGGAGTCTCTTTCGGAGGCTCTTTCGGAGTCTCTTTCGGAGGCTTTGCTTCTTTCTCTTTGCTGTCTTTGCTCTCTTTCTCTTTGCGAGGGCTCTGCTTGGGACTTCTCCGTGTGCTCCGACGGCTTCGGCTCCGACGGCTCCGGCGGCTGCGGCTGCGGCTTCTCCGACTGCGACTTCTCCGACGGCTCCGACTCCGGCCTGTCGGTCCCACGATGTCCCACGTGTCTCAGAGTCTCAATTCTGTTCTGATCTTCTCGCGTTCGGGCCCCGACTCTTCCGCGACCTCGTCTCCGTCCTGCTCCCACTGCCGCTTCAAGCCAGGCATGCGGAGGACTGACAGAGCTACAAAACGCGCGTCCTCCGCGAATCCTTCTTCGTAGGTTCTGGTGGCACAGCCTGCGGAAAGGTCAGCAAGTCGGCTACTAAACGGTCACGACACTCCAGCCGTGTGCGCCTCCGAGCGCGGTGCATCATCTGTGCCTCAGGCCGATGGAGGGCAGAAGACCACACTAGCATCCGTGCACAGTCTGAGCTCAATGCTTAAGAATGTTTGAGCATTTCCTCCAGCACCTCCCTCCTCCAAAAGATCACTACACATGTTTGGGCAGAGATTCGCGCAGCATAGTCATGCCTTGCAGCTGCCCTGGGGTTCGAATAACCAAAGCTCGAGAGCATCTTTAAAGGATACAGGAAGCCACATCGGCTCAACATTTGTGGCGGAGCTTTAGCTGCTAGTGAGGACCCGTTGAGGCAAAGGGCAGCTCGAGACACCCTCGGACCTCTTCGGCAGGCTTTTTGTGCAGGTTCTCCGAAGTCAACGCGTACCTGTCGTGGGGAACGCAAGGTGTTTGGACGCCTTGGAGATGGTCTGTCGCACCAGCCGCGTCTCTCGTCCCGCTCGGAGTTTGGCCCTTTTGGCATCGAGAACTTTCCTGCGGCATCCTGGCAAGGTAACGCAGCAAGTCCCAAGTACTTTGATTAGATTTGTAAGATATACGGATCTTCGCAGGCTGCAAGTCTTCTATCCGCAGTCCTGCAGCCAGCGCTTTGAGAAGCACCGTCGACGATCCCAGGACTGAAGAATCTGACAGGACCAGGAGAGCCGTCGTTAAGTCAAAACACCGTGTTGGTACTATCATCCTCTAGCATCACCTATAAGAACCTGAGTGCCGCATGTGTAAAAACAAAACATGTATGTGTATCCGCTGAACCCTCCCGACGGTGGCGCCCGTGAACTCGGGGGTGAGCCTAGCTCAGCTCTCTCTCTGCCTTACAGATCCTCCCGGTAAGGGCCGAGCAACCTGCCTCAGTTGGTTGAGGCTTAGCCCTCTCTGCCTTACAGATCATACACACGATTTTCAGAACCTGCTTCAGTTCGCCCACAGCCGTTCCCGCCCCTGGTCAAGTATGTGAAGCATTTGAGTTATTTGAGCCCCTCTTTGCCCCTCCAGACCCTTCTGCGCTCACCGCCCAGCCCTTCCCGGCCCTCGTCAAGTATGTGAAGTATTATAGTACTTCGAGTAATGGAATGCAAGCCCAATGCATGCCCAACCCCGCTTTCCCCCTCCAGACCCCCGAGCCCCGTTTCCTTGGCAGCACACAGCTTTTCCCTGGCCCAATCCCTCTGTTGCCCCCCCGACCCCACTGCCCGTGCGCCCTGGTCAGGTATTTGACTACATGCCCAACCCCTCTTTCTCCCAGCGCCCCAAAGCGCTGGGTAAGGCCCTTCCGTCATCGCCCATCGCCTGCCGCAGCAGGACTCCTGAGCGCGCACCGCCTAGCTCTTCTGACCCAGCACGTCTTTTGCCCCCCCAGACCCCTCAGCGCCCACCGCCCCTGAAGCAGTTGAGTAATCAATCATGCCTAACACCTCTGTGCGCTTCGGGACCTCCCAGCGCCCGCCGCCCAGCTCTGTCTAGTGTAGTATGGTATTAGTTTATGCGTTTGGGGTTATGGCTTCAGAGCTGGTCAAGGCGGCTTTGGGGTTCAAAGTAACGGTTCTTTGCTTTAGCAAAAGGCGCGACCGCCAGTGCCGGCGACCCCACCCATTTTCGAGTTTTTTTGTGTTTTAGGGTAGCCATGGGTACCCTAGCCCGGGACCCGGGGCGTGCATCATCAGTCTGGCTCTGGGGACACGGGGGAGGGCGGGAGAAGGCCCCCTCCGTCGGTTTGCGGTTCGAAGCTCAAGTTTATATTGGTTTGTCCGGGCTGCGCTGCCCGCCGGTGCGCGCAGCCCTTAGACTGGGGCAGCGCTCGGTCCCCGACCGCATGCGTCCTGTGAGTTCGAGGCTTAGCCGAGGTGTAGCTTGCAAGCTTTGTTTTAGCAAAGGCGCGACCGGCAGTGCCGCCGACCCTGCTTCATCGGACCCTCGTTTTTCCACCGGGCCGTGCGTGACCTCGCCCGCCGGAGGCCTGTCGGCTTATGCACGCGTTTCGCAGCTGTTCCCCACGGCACTGTATGGCGGGTTTCGGGGCCCGGTGGACGACCCCAAGAGGCCAGCCGGCGAGCATCATGAGCGCTCGGGGCGCCCGCAACCGGCCCTGCAGCGCGAGGCAATGTTTTGCCAATTTTTGAGGAGATTGCGGAAGCCATCGGAAGCCCAGAAAGGGCGCGCATCATCGCCATCAGCAGGGTTCGGCGCAGGGGGGGTGCGTGGCCTTGCTCCAGGCTTCTACCTGCGCTGCCCGCCCGTAGCCCGTGGGCGCAGCCCTAGAATCGATGAGCGTGACTCCGAGAATCCGGTGTCGTGCTAGATTCAAGCTCAGGGCCACCCTACATGGAGATCCAATTTCGAAGCTGTGGTCTGCCCACAAACCAGTTTTCGGCTTAGGATGGCTTAGGCCAGTGTTTCCCAGCTGAGCCCCCACTACTGGCTGGAGACTCTGTAGACGCGGACGCCGTCTCTCGCACGTCCCTAGTGAACATGTCGGCCAACCGTGTCAACAACTCGTTGGACGGGAAGGACTCGAGTATTTCCCATGCTGACCTCCAGACCTCAAACCTGCTCCGAAAGCTGGGAGATCGAACATCGCTCGCATCAACTCACGCGCCTCTCCCAAGAAAGCACACGCTCCACGATCTCGATCGTCAATGTTCTGCCACGCATATTCAGTACAAAACGTGATGACGGCGACAGCACAATCAATTCGAAGGTTTTCGGAATACATGAACTGTCATGAACGTGTTGCACTTCAAACGCGGTAGCCCACGTCGAAAATGATGCCGAACAAAGTCCTGAACGAGGGTCAGACAACAGGAACTTGCACAGACCGCAACAGAAACTCCTAGCCTGGGAAGCTGTCCCACTAATCCCATGGAGTCCACGCCTGCCTGTGACAACTCGTCCGTCGGACAAAACTTGAGCAATTGCACGGATTGGCCTGAGGTCCAAGACCTTGCGAAGCGATGGCATCGACCAAGCACCTCAGCGGCATCCCAATGCAAGAACAGGTGAGCTCCACCGTTTCCGGAGTCGTGTGCTTTAGCTCCTCACGCCAGGGCAAGTCGAGCCCTTCGAAGAATTGCGCTTCTCAGAGCGGGAGCTGCATCCTTCCATGGGTGCTTTGAGCCCTGCTTTCAGTGCTCTGTGCCGCTGCACTTGAACATCAATGCCACGGCTCTCCTCAGGAAGATTCTCGGATGAGAGCTCCTCAATGCATGCACGTATGCAGTCTCTTGCCCAAACCTTAACTGCCAGCTCAAGGGTAGGACACCCAGTCCCCTCCTGAAGTCTTCGCAGCACTTCTGGTTGTCGCAGTGGCCCTGACCGCACAGCTCCACGAGCAGCTCGAGCCACATGCCCTTGAATGGACCTTGACAGATCATGCAGTAAGTCTGACATACACTGACACTTTTGGCGCGCGAGTTGCCGGCCGCGGCTCGAAAGCCGGATCCCGAGTCCCCTTCACGATAACATCCAGGGAGCTTGCAAATTCCTGCGCGAGGAGCATGTGAAGAGCGTGAGATGCGTCAGCCACGCTGCGCCAGAGACCCCCAGCCGTCAACTTCGTTGGGCCACGACGCGTCTGGAAATAGCTGGGGCAGCTTCGTCCAGAACAGAGAGGAGGGACCCATTCTGGCGAACTTCCCACAGCCTACCCGTACTGCGCCGTACTCCTTCTATCCTGGCCCGAACTCATCCTGAGCTCTCGGAGGCCCGAGACTGGACAGGGCTCAGCAGGCAAAAGGTCCTCCCATCCTGCCCATTCAACCAATCCTCGAGAGATGCGACAATGGGCATAGCCTATGCAATCTCCAACCGAGGATTCCACCAACTGCTCGCGCATCCTCCGTCATCATGAAGGTGCCCGGCGGTGTCTGAAGCAGGGCTCGCGAGGCTTCTGATCATGAGCGCATGTCCAGGCCACCCGGCCTCATTGACTACATTCCATGCTTTCATGGCAACCTCAAAGTCCTCCCCAGTGATGCCGACGGCCCGGCCCAGCATTGGCAATGGCAAATACCTCTCAGCAAGCGTTTGAGGCAAAGCGGCAAGCGAAGCAGATTGAAGCAGCCTGCGTCCATCATCTCCTTCTATAATCCTTGTGGCCACGTGTCACTGTGGCGAGGAGCCAGAAGCCCACTCCCGAGCATCGAGAACCTGGCCCCAGCCCAGCGGCTCCATCACTGCCCTTCGGGGCGAGCTCAAAAAACCTGCATGCAGCACAGAGCCATCTTCAGCTGATCGCTTCGACTGGACCACGACTTTCAGAGGGAACCAAATGCGGTGCCTCAACAGGGCACTGCGAAGCTGCTCGGCAGTAGTTGCCGGAGCCGCAGGTTCCTTTGGTTTGCTCTGGGGTCCTGCAGACGACAGTCACAGCAATTGCACAACACCTCCTTCTGGCCTTGCATTGGAGCTCAAGTGAGCTGTATTGGGCGTCATGCCACTAAACAGTTTGGGTCGAAAACGAAACCTTGTCACGAGTGAAAACGAAGCCTTGTCACGAGTGACTCCTGGAGGAGGTGCTGGCTCTGGAACTGATGCAGGTGGAGCAGGTGGAGATGGGCTCTCAGGCCTGAGTTGTCACCGTCACACTGCGAATATATGGAAATCTCCTCTCAAGCCAGTGCGCAAGCGAGAAAATGGGGGGGAGGGAAGG